ATAATATGACACATTTAGTTAATTGCATCTTTAGGGCCAAGATCATTTTTAGCCTGTTACTACAGACGTGTTGTACAAATTGGAGCTTCCTAGGAAGACTTAAAATCTATCTATGTGAAGTAAATTTCCTGTTAAGATAATCATATGTCTGATTATGAAAGATGAATGTTAAGGAAAGGTCTGAGAGAGAACTTGGTGTGATTACCAGTGAGGAAGGTAATATTAAATACCACCAGTGGGATGGGTGGGCTTTAACCTTCAGCAATGAAATTGCTCTTTGTGCCTAAATGCAGTAACAGTGGATTTTTTCCTAAAATGGAATTTAGGAATAATGGATATTATGGTATCACATATCAGCAACATTAATAGATGAAGTGATTCCCAGACTGTGGTGGGAATAACAAAACTGGCTTTAATTCTCCGAAAAACTTCATAAATTATGTTGGGTTTGGGAGGGCCTTTGATCTGCATGCTATGCTCCTCAAATCCAAAAAGTAGGTGACCCCTATGTTGTCTCTTACTGGATCTTCTGGAGATCAACACCCTACTGAATGATGTGGGAAAATCATAAGTACTACAGCATAGGTCCAAAATGGTTGGCCTCTTCTTTTCTTTGTAATATGTTTCAAACATGTAATTATGTAATTTTTATATATATATATATATATATATATATATATATTACTTGGATGCAAAGTACTTCAGTTTGTGGTGGGGTTTTTTTCACTAAAACCCCAAGTCTTGCTTAAGCCCTGTAAAAAGTCTATATGAACTTCAGGAGTATTAAGAATTACAGTAAAATCTTGAGAGCTATCTCACAGCAAAACAGCCTATGAAAAACTCTCAAGTTTGGTTTCCCCATTACTGAGTCTGGAATGGCAGCTTGGACAGAAGAAAGTGGGAGGGGAGTGCATCACCCTCGTGCCATGAGTGCAGGTCCCAGTATTTCTTTGTGTCTCAGAAAGATCTCTCAGATCCTGGGAAGAAAAGAGAACAAGCTCCCAAAAGCACTGAGTATCAGCAGCACCTGTAACCTGTAAACATCACATTTATGGCACCAGCGTCAAGATGAGATCTCAGCAGTGTGACTACAGGTACTAATGCACACAGCAGTTCCCTCTCCCAGTGCAACAGACTGATCAGGCTGGGACTGCTGGGACTGCTTTCCTCTTTGAAGGCAAAAAAAAAAAAAGAAAAAGAGTGCAAGGTCTGGGTTACTTTCCATTCCTGCAAGTACCAGCTTTTTTGGGAACAGCAAAGGTGTGAAATCAGCCTACGGAGCCTGCTGTCAGCAGTGGGTGTCGCAGCCCACAGCCAGTCAATAGTTATTATGAGCCAAAAAGGCAGGGAAATCCAGCCAACTTGAGCAAAAGATGCAGCAGCAGAGAAGAGCGCAGAATTCTGGCATTTGCTTCTTGCATCGTGGTCTGCTTTTATTCTTGCTGTATTAAAACTGTCATGGCTTTATGCTAATGTGGTTTATTCCTAGCCAGTGATTATTACGCTTTGAATTAGCAGTGCTCTTGAGACCATTTCTCATGAAAAAAAATCATGTCCTTCTGAGAAATGCGAATGAGAAGGAAAAAGAACTGTTACTTGCATTAGCTTGGAACTGTGTGTGTGTTTGGAGAGGATGAAGGAGAAGGGACACTTTAATGACTGATGCCAGGCACTGCAGGACTCTGAGGCCACAGATTCGTGTGTGAGACAATACTGAAATTCAGGGAAGAGCAGTTAAAATATGGAAATGGTTTTGACACTGTGTTTAGCTTTCAGTGAACCCACCCTCTGGGTAAATTCTTTTTTATTCCAGTGTTAGTTTTGCCTGACTGTAAATCCATACTCATTTAGCCTGAGTGGGAAAAGCTTCCCCAGGGGCAGTGAGAGCGCCGCTGGTGTTAGAAAGAGTTGTGTGTATGTTGTGAAAGGAGAGTGTCTTTGAGGGGTGTCAGTTCTCCAGGAAATGGCCTCAGCAATACTAGTAAGGACCAGCTAGCAAAGAGAAGTCTTTGCAGCTCTGAGATTTCATAACAAGGCACCTGGATAGCAGAGATCTTGGCTCAGTGATGGTGGAAAGGAGAGGGTGAGCAGCAAGAGGAATTTCAATATGTTTCAGTTGTAGGTTTATTAGCAGGAACCCTAATTCAGCAGCAGCAGCAGTAGTGTGTCTTCCCAGTTTGCTCAATGGGCCACTTCCTGTATCCCCCAAATAAGGCAGCAAAGACAATACTAGCCCATTACTTTTAGCAGCATCTCTAAAAAAATCACAGCACTGTAGCACAATGGGGTCTTACATGCTTGAACTAGAGGCATCTCAAAAATGGAGGAAGGGGAAAAGGAGTGGTCCCTTTGGATCTGCATATAGAGGGCAGTGGTCTGTACCTTGTGCTTGTCTTTGAGGCCTAGCAGGTTCCAGTGAAATCACAAAGTATAAGGAAATGTCTGAATTCCTCTTGTTTTCACCCATATGGTTTATTCAGCATAACCAGGCAATTCCCAGCCTTGATACAGCATGTCCCAGCCCCTGTACAGGACAGAGCCTTGTAATGGGTTCTTTGGATAAGAAGGTATTTCTCCAGGCAGTCAGGCACAAAGAGCTGGAACAGAATGAAATGCTTTGGCTGGATTATCTTTTATTCCCTCTGCTTTAAATTGAAAAGAGATGTTCTCAGAAATGTCTTTTTCTCCATTACCCCAAAGAATAGCAGTTTTTAACCATTTCAACTGAAACATCTGGGCTCACTCTATCTTGCTGGCTAGCTTTTTCTTCTTTGGAAAGTTATAGGCAGCTGTATCTGGCATTGATATTTTACAGGAAAAAAAGGATTATGTTGCATGTTAACATTCAACACAAACAAAAGAACAATAACAAAATAACCAACCTTCTTGCAAAAACCTGAGGGACTCAAATAGTAGTTCAGTTGGAGTTCTGATAATGAAACCTCCTTTGTGTTAGAAATGCGTCTCTGGCTGTTCCCATGAAAACCAACCTAAATTTGGCTCACTTAAAGCCTTAAGAAAATTTCCATTGAGATACGTAAGAATTTGCCAGCCATAGTCTCTGGTGATTCTGTCAGTGTGGAGTGGGCGTGCTCATCCCTTCAAAGCAGTGTTCTTGCTGAGGTTCCTGAGTCCATGCTCATGCCTGAGGTTAATATTTAAAATATTAGAGGTGAATAGAAACATTGGGCTATTGTCTTCAGAGCAGGAGAGATGACAGTCTGCATCCTGTCTTTATGGATCCCAACTGTGTGTGCAAACCACTCAAATCAGTATTAGTGGCAGTGTCACAAGTCTGGGAAATTGTATCCCTTAAAAAAAACGAAAAACAAACACCAACAACAACTTTAAAAAATTGTTTAAAAACAAAAATAAAATAAAATAAATAAAATAAAAAACACACACAAAACCCCCACTTGTATGTTGATTGAACTATGCAGATTTCTTTTTTAGGAAGAGAGCTGCATGCTTCAGCCCAAGGCAGGGAGACCCTCTTGCATCCCTGGCAGCTGTGGCACAGAGAGAACCTCTCTTGTTGCTGATACCTTCCTCTGTTGGTGTTTTCTTTGTGGTCCTGGCTTTCCTCTCTCTGTGTCTCTAATGACAGAGATGTTATTTCCCAAAACTATCAGCATAAATTTTGCCTTGCAAATGTGAGATGGGGGGACCATGCAATATTACTATGTCAAATGACCATCCCCAGACTTCTCTTATTCTCATTAGATAGGAAGAGTAATTTAAATTCTTCAGGGTTTTGGGAGTTTTTTCAGTCTTGAGACTATCATGATGTATTACAGTGTAAAGGTTGCAGATAACTGAAATATTAAGAATAGAAGCTCAATGAAAACCTCTATCCCCTTCAAGGGAATTCAGCCCCCACCGAGGACTGTACTAAAATCCAAAATTTAAAGTTTGAATGTTAAAAGCTAAGCGTAAGAATTGGAGGGCAGTGAGTGGGCAGAAAAATGGGGCTAGACTTGGGCACCTCACTACACTGAAAGACACTGAGGTGCTCGAGGATGGCTGGTTCTGGAGCACAGGTCCTATGATGAGTATCTAAGGAAGCCTGGAGAAAAGGAGGCTCAGGGGGGTCCTTATTACTCTCTAGAACTACATAAAAGGAGAGTGTAGCCAGGTTGGGGTCAGCCTCTTCTCCCAGGTAACCAGTAGTAGGACTAGAGGAAATGGCCTCAAGTGGCACCAGGGAGCTTTTAGATTGCATATTGGGACAAATTCCTTCATGGAAGGGGCTGTAAAGCGTTGGAACAGGCTGCCAGGGAAGTGGTGCAGTCACTGTCTTTGGAAGGATTTAAAAGATGTGTAGATCTGGCAGTTGGGGATGTGGTTTAGGGGTGGACTTGGCAGTGCTGGGTTAACAGCTGGACCCGATCTGAGAGGTCTTTTTCATCCCAAACCATTCTATGATCCTATGATTTTTTAGCACCATCTCTCTCACTAGGAAGTTCCTAATGTGGCCCCTTTTTGTAACCCAAGCAATCTTAATGGACACAGTATAGTACCAAAGGGCTGTTATTTATCAGGGTCCTTGCTCTTAATAAATATTAGTTAAAGGAAATGTCTCTTTCCATTGCAATAAAAAAACCTCCTTGTAATATTTATTTTAAATTATATTGCATCCTTTTTTTTTTGTTCCCCAGTCTATGTCACACTTCCCCAGGAATGGCTGATGGCTGAACTGCCAGCTGTCTAGAGTGATGTAGAACAATTTGTTAAAAGTCATAACTTTTATAACATAATAACCCATATTCTTGTTGAATCTTGCTGTTACTACTGTTCTTTACAGTAGATTAATGATTTCACTAAAAGAAAATAAAATAATGTTAAAACAGGAAGGACTACAACTTTTTCCCTTTGTTACTTTTCTCTGTGTCTGTGAAAAATTTTGGCCATCTGTGTGGTTTTCTGATAACTTATTAAAGCATTTTTTTTTCACTTCCCACCTTCCTTGTTTTTTTTTCTTTTTCTTGCTGAAATCACAGCTGAAGAGGTGGAAAGACTGGCTGCAATGCGTTCAGATTCTCTAGTACCTGGGACTCACACGCCTCCAATCAGAAGAAGGAGCAAATTTGCCACTCTCGGGAGAATTTTTAAGCCATGGAAATGGAGGAAGAAGAAGAGTGAAAAATTTAAGCACACTTCAGCAGGTAACAGTCGCATTGGGGTCGGTTTATTAATCTGGAACTTTTTGCTCATCAAGGTAGAAAATTTGTAATACAGCCTCAGTTTATATGTATTTCAACTCTTGAAGCTTAGCTTGGAGAGATTCATCAGATTCTAAGAGATCTTTAACTTTGTTACCAAGTTTTTCTTTATAAAACCCAGAGCAACACATTGGGTACACTACAGTTAAAGCAGCAGCTCACCAAAGCTTTATTTTCAGGTTTTGCTACTAGAGCTAGAGTCTAACCCAGAAGAAATCTTTGAATATTGATTCAGCAGATTATGAATAAAAGAAAAAGCAGTATGAAAAGATAATGCTACTGGTTGATTTCGCCACATTTAAGGTCCTGTGAGTGCCAATAAAGGAGTGAGAAAAATACATGAGGTTGATATTGTCTTGAGTAACTTGCATAACCAGGAATTATTCATTCAATTGGGCAGGAAGGATGTGTCCCTTGTCTTTTTTGAGAAAACTGAATCTCAGTTCCTGCCACACCCCTCCTTTTGCCATTGCTTTCTCACACTAGTTCTAGTGCAAGATCCCTTTTTATTAATATGGAAAACTGAAAAAAAGAGTGGGTTTATAATGTTAATATAATGTTTATAATGTTGGTTTGAACAAGAAACCCACATCCAGACACTGGTGCATGTGGTGAAAGCTTTGCAATCTATTTAGAAGGTTTCTTTTCTTTGTTCTTTCATGATGGCCAATAGTTACTACATGTAGTTCTGCAAATCTTTAGCCTGGATTATCTGTGAGAAAACATGGAGTTTCTCAAGATTTCTAATTGTTCTCACTAGAACGAAAGCAGTGAGTATCTTGCTCCTTCAAGTGCCAGAAGAGGCTTGAGTTACAATCCAATTGCTTTTCTACTCTGTGTATTACACAGTGGAAGCATTTAGATAGTACTTGGGTTTATCTGTGGCACCCCAAATCCTGTGCTCAGGAAAATGGCCCACAATGGGATGAGACATCTCATTTAACTAAGTGTGAACTCTTGAATGGGTCTAAATGCAGAATAAGTGTTTTCAGGGTTTGTACCTGAATGAGTTCTTTACTGTGTGCTGTTTAGGCTGGTTTCTGATTTGTCAGCCAAAAGCTAATGAACTGGAATAGGTTATATCACTCTGACTGATGATCGGATCTTTTGACTTGACAGCTGAGAAGCTATTGTCACCAAAAGTGACATCTTTCTGCAAAACAAAAGACTTGTCTTTCATGTTCTGCATCGGTCATAACCAGAGTGTAGTGTAGCAGGATTTTCCTGAAAACTATTTATCTCATAGGGATATGTGGACATTGTAGTGACAACTGCCTTGAATCTATTTTCAGCATGCTCACTTGGTTGGTTACAACTAGGAGAAAAACCATAGCTGTTCAGGAGGTACCATGTGTTGCCAAAGCTTGCCTGCTGTTGATTTTTCTGGTTTCTGCAGCTCCAGCTGATGAGGCTGAGCTGCATACTGCTGTGGCTAGACTGACTGATTTGAAGATGGATGGAATATGGCTCCATAGTTTTTTTCTGAGCATTACAAGAAGCATTGCTTAGATTTGCCTCATTACCAAAATATTTGGGAAGTACACAGCGATTAAAACCAGACTGAAGACATGTATTTTCTCTTCTCAGAGGAATAGGAAGTTTTACCAGACATGCCAGCATATCTTCTCCTCTAGTAACAATGAGTTCAGTGTCTGAAAAACCAATTTAAAAGTTGGGTCTCCAGGAACATTTGTCAGTCACAGTACTGGGTTTGATCTCAGCTGAATCTAAAACCTTTCTCTTTTTTTTTAGAAAAATTTTCATTTCCAGTAAGTTAACAGTATCCTGCAGCTGCTCTGCAAAATTGGTTTTCCTGTCAGCTCCCCTGCTACTAACTGCAGCAAAATTGACAAAGATGTCAAATTTGCTGAGCACCCTGTAGAAGGCAGGGATAGAGATTTACTTCCAGACTGTGCAAGAGCTGGGATCTCACAGTTTCCATCATCCCCAGCACTGGGGAACAGGAATCCACCAGCATCCTACAAGACCCTTCAGCAATTAAAAAGCATTGGTTGAACTTTGGATGTGTAGTACAAAAGATTTGACATGTGGAAAACTAGCATTTTTCTGCCAGCGTTTCCATGACCTTTTGTCTAGTACCTCTGATCTCCCTGAGAAAATATGTTTAATCTTTATAATAAATCAAAGGACAAGCCTGTGAGATGGCATAATGAGAGCCAGCATGAAACTTCATAATACAGGCTTATTTTCTCCTAGTGCACTGATAAATGTGACACTTGGAAAAAACAAAACATTTCCATTAGTGTCCTACAGGCATGCACCCAAGCTTTCCCACCTGCATAGAACATCAGTAATTATTAAAAAATAGATACTAATACAAGTATTTTATTAGACCCTTATTTGCTGCAACAATGGATTCAATTATTTTTAATGTCAAAAGTAGTAAGGGTCAAAAAGCATGGCCTAATCTGATGAAATTTCCTCTGAAATTAATGGGAGATTCTTCTCTGGGAGAGGACAGGAAGAAAGAGAGAGTCAGGCTGATATGTAAGGTTGAAAGCTTGCCTTTTTCTTGGTATTTCCAAGTGCTAACATTTTGTATCCATATCTTTATCAGACTAAAAGCTCTACGTATCTATTCAGACATGAATGTTTTAAAATACAGTTCAGCAGTCAATGAGAAAAAAAACCTTTCAGGTAATAGAAAAAGCTGTCTTCTGACACCTGGTAATTGCATAAGGTGACACAGTATATAATTTGATTGATGGAGGACCTCAATATTATGCTTATTATATATTACTCCTCTCAGCACATCAATACTCAAATTGGAGCATAGTAAGTCCCCCATCCTCCATCTTTGTTATTGTATTGTCTCTGACAAGCAGAAGGTCAAAAGGACATTCATGTTTCATAGACTTTATATGTTTATAGCTTATGATGGTTTTGGTATCCCTGTAGTGACACTGCAGATGGGTCCAAAATCTGACATTGCCTTGGTGGTGACTTGGTAACAAAGGCAAGAGTCATGGGTTTGATGCAGCCATCTCATGCCTTTGCCTTCCAGCTGGTTTCTCTGTGAGATCATCATCAGGTATTTCATAAAACAGCCAGAGCAGGTAGAAAAGATCACGGATAGGGTGATCTCTTTGCAGATAGGGAGCACCAGATGAGCCATTGGGTTTGATCTGAGTGACCTCTTCTGCTGGAAAGTGATGTGCTAAGGAAATACAAAAAATGTGTACTGTCAGTGAAAGATGGGCTTTCATTCACACTGATGGGCTGGGCATAATCTCAGAAAAACAGGGAGATTACACTCTATGGAGGACACCAGTGTACCACAGCAGGAGCAGAAACAAGTTAATTCTCACAGTAATTCTCCTCCTGGACAGAAGTTCCTACCAGAACAAAGTGGTTTTCAGTGTCAGGTCTGCAAATCATTTTATCACAGAACATCCTATTGAAAGTTCTTTGATGGGTGATGAGACTCCCACAGTACAGCATAAACTCTCCGAACACCGAAGCTCCATATACAGGGAGTTAGACAAAGAAGCCAAACTGTTATTCATGCTACACTCAAAGGTATGCTGCATGTTTTTTAACTTAGCTAAGATTTTTACATGAAGTGTGGAAACCTTTATTTCCATGCAGGGCCAAGGCCCCCTCAACAAAATGAGAAGTATTATAAAGTTGGGAGAATAGGCAAACTTCCAAATGGCAAGATTCTCTCTGTTGAGAGGGTGGTTTCTTACAGCTTATAAGGAGCAGTCTCACAGCAGAAGAAGCCAGGAAGAAACAGAGTTTTCTACTCCCAAGCACATTTCCTTGGCTGGATGCAGCTGGGATGGCTTTAGAAGACTGGTCAAGGTTTTGAAAGGCATACTGGGCTCTCTGGGAATCAGCAGAGCACATAGCAAGAGAGCAAGCTGTCTCTTCTGCTAGACCTTTGTCATTTTTTTAAATACCTTGATCTTCTCCTGCTCGCCTTGCTGTGAACTTGAAAAATGTTCCTAGGTGTGTTACTGTTTTATTGCAGTGCTGTACACATGCTGAAATGTCATTTCCTGGAGATGTTTTGGAGAAGGACCTGCTTCTGAAATAAAGAAGCTTGAGGGGAAATAGATTCTGCTCCTACTTGAAATATTATTGAAGGTTTTTATCACTACTTTCATCGAAAGCCAGCTGTTTGCAACCTTTCAGAAAAGAAGTGTTTCAGTTGCTTGGAGCAGTTTGAGTTGAGAAAAATGTCTTGTTTTGTCATTTCCCATTTCTGGTGGCCTTCATTTTAAAGAATTGGTGTGTCTGTCTTCTGCCATCCTTACTTCCTGAATTGCAGTGCTCAGGCAAACAGGAGAAGGAAACATGTAACTTGTACTTGAAGGACACTAGTTTGAATGACAAGAGAAAAGCAGGAAATGGTGAGAAATTACGGGGTGTAAAGAAAGCTCAGTTGTGAGTAGAAGAGCAAAGGATTCAGCAGTGTTTGGGTTAGGTCCACTGGTAGCCTGTACAATGAGCAGCGAAAGACCTATGTCAGAAAAAAGCTCCTCAGCAGCTCTGTTGCCAAGCAGTTGGTTCTCTGAGACAACCAGTAATACTAAAGAGAGAAAAGGAAATATTTTGAACTCAGCCTTTCCTCCTAGGTTCATTGAAACCTCCTTTTATTTGTGTCCCAGTTTCCTTTCCTAGAAATACTTACAATCCTCCTCCACAGAGCAGTGATCACACATCAGTTCCTCTGGTGCCACAGTTGCCATCCCAAAACCCATGAGTGAGCTAGTGAGCCATGCCCTCTTCTGTGACCACAGGAAGACACGACTGAGACTTTCTAGACTCATGCTTGGGGGGTACCCCCCTGAGAATAGAGAAGATCTGCTCCTCTTTCATTTAAGCCTTCATTGGTTTAGGTAAGATTGAGATTGGTGTTCAAGAGCATGCCTCAAGGCGTAGGACTGGGGAGTTGGAAAAGATAGACCTGGGCTGAA